TCATCATCGTCATCGTCATCATCGGCATCATCATCCTCATCATTCATCATCCATCGTCGTCATCACAATCATCATCATAATCGTCATCAGCAGCTTCATCATCATCGCCATAATCGTCATTTTCATCATCATCGTCATCGTTATCCGTAAGGGCTTCGCCCCCTGCCGCCGGCCCCCCCTCTCGGATAATGGGCTATGCATGAGCTAAATCATGAGGCCTCGGCGCCGCCGTGAAGCAGCATCGGCAAGAGAAATTGAGATTCTGATGATATTGTTGAACTCAGTGTTGCATTTTGAACCTGCCTCCGTGGGTTTTTCGACCCTGACTCTGACTCCGCCGGTCTGCGTGAGGGGTGCCGCCGAATTTCAGAAATGTGGCAAATCCCATCGGCTTTTCGCCCCTGACTCCGCCGATCTGCGTGAAGGGTGCCGCCGAATTTCAGAAACGTGGCAATTCCCATTGGTTTTTCGACCCTGACTCCGCCGATCTGCGTGAGGGGTGCCGCCGAATTTCAGCAATGTGGCAAATCCCATTGGTTTTTCGACCCTGACTCCGCCGGTCTGCGTGAGTGGTGCCGCCGGATTTCAGAAATGTGGCAAATCCCATAGGTTTTTCGACCCTGACTCCGCCGATCTGCGTGAGGGGTGCCACCGAATTTCAGCAATGTGGCAAATCCCATGTGTTTTCGGACTCTGACCCCGCCGATCTGCGTGAGGGGTGTCAATTTCGACCCCCCCAGAAATTCTGAGAACCCTCCCAGGAGACGCTAACCAGGGCACTTTTCGGCTCCCCCCCGCGCGCGGTCTACAACAAGGAACAGTAATACAACAAGAAGCAGAGCTGTAACAGTGGAAACTGGAAACTGGAACTGGCGCAGGGAACAGCAAACCCTCGTCCTACAGACTGGTGGCCCCACAAGGGGGCTGGCGGATTAGCATCATCATGGCCATCATTATCATCATCATCATCATCATCATCATCATCATCATCATCATCATCATCATCATCATCACCGTCATCGTCATCGCAATCATCATCATCATCATCATCATCATCATCATCATCATCATCATCATCGTCGTCGTCGTCGTCGTCGTCGTCGTCGTCGTCATCTTCATCGTCATCGTCGTCGTGATCATCGCAGCCATCATCGTCATCATCGTCATCGTCGTCGCCATCGTCATTGTCATCGTCATAAGCACCATCATCATCGTCGTCATCGTCCTTTTCATCAGCATCAGCATCGCTATCATCATCGTCATTTTCAGCATCATCACCGTCATCGTCATCAACATCATCATCGTCATCATCATCGTCGTCGTCATCGTCACCGTCATTGTCATCAGCACAATCAGAATCGCAATTGTCATCGTTACCGTTAGCGTCATTATCGTCATCATCATCAGAATCTTCATCATCATCGTGATAATCATTATGTCACCATCATCATCGTCATCATCGTCATCATCGCCATCACCATCATTGTCATCATCACCGTCGTCAGCATCATCATTAGCACATCTTCATCGTCATCGTCATCAGCATCATCTTCATCACCGACAGTGGCATCATCATCATCATTGTCATCCTCGCTATCAGCAGCAGCATGATAATCATCATCGTCATTACTAGCATCATGGCCATCACTGTCATCGTCATCATCATCATCGTCATCATCATCGACCGCTATCACCATCATCATTACCATCACCACCATCAGCATCACACTCATCATCATTACTCATCAACCTCATCAACGTCATCATCATCCTGATCATCAACATCCTCATCATCATGATGATCATCATCATCACCACCATCATCAGCATCATCAGTACCATCGCCGTCTAGGGCCACCTCCAAGCTGCGGCGTGCCGCTGCCGTCGAAGACGCTGGCGTCGAACTGCAGGAGTGCGGCGCCGTGCTCGGCCGGCGCGCCGCGCACGCCCCCGCGTGCCCCTGGAGCGCCACGCGGCTGCGAGCCCACACGGGAGCCGCGCGCGCGGCTTTGAGGAAGAACTTCGGTCCGCAGGCGCCGTCGTCGACCTAAAGCAGCGGGCGCCTGAGCTCCACCGGACGCTGCCGCACGGCACGATCCAGGAGGCGGTCATGGACCTTGTCGTCTCGCTCCCTGCCAGCGCCAAGCGCTTGTGGCTGGACGTCAGCGTCCAGACGCCGTTCAACGCTTCGCTGGCCGGCGCGGGTCGCACCCTTGGGGCCGGTGCCGCCGCCCGCGACAGGGCCGAGGCGATGCTCTATGGCGGGCAGGTGCACAGCATTGCCGTCGAGACGGGCGGCCGCCTCAGCGCCAGCGCCGCCGCGGCGCTCGCGGAGCTCGCGGCCGCCTCGCAGGGACCACGGCGCGACGGCTCGCCGAGCGCTTCTGCACCGTCGTCATGCTGTGGGCCACGGACGCCACCGTCGCCGCCCTCGGCGGCTAGCCCGATGCTGGCGCAACTCGCAGATTGCAGCTTGACCTCGGTCACCCGGAGGTGTTCACCATCAGCATCATCATCCTCACCAGCATCATCATCGACATCATCACCACCATCATCACCACCATCATCATCACCATCATCATCGTCACGATCACCACCACCACCATTACCATCGTCATCATCAGCACCATCATCATTTTCTTCTTTCTCATCAGCATCATCATCATCATCATCATCATCATCATCATCATCATCATCATCATCATCATCGCAATCGCAATCATTACCATCATCACCCTGATCACCATCATCACCATCATTACTATCACCGCCACCACAACATCTTATCCTCCCTCGGCGGCGCAGAGCCTCGCACTGGCAGCGCCGCTCGCCGCCCGCCGCCCGCCGCCACTTCCTCCGGAGGCGCGAGTTCACCGGCGGCCTCGCCGCCGCGTCCGGCGCCGCGCTCGGCTTCGGCGCGCCCGAGCAGCCCGGCTCGCGGCCCGGCTCTGCGGCGCTGCGGGGGCGCGGGTGGCACCGGGGGCCGTCGGTGTCGTCGTCGTCGTCGTCGTCGTCGTCGTCGTCGTCGTCGTCGTCGTCGTCGTCGTGGTCGTGGTCGTTGTCGCGGTCGTGGTCGTGGTCGCGGTCGGCGTCAGCGTCGGCGTCGGCGTCGGCGTCGGCGTCGGCGTCGGCGTCGGCGTCGGCGTCAGCGTCGGCGTTGGCGTCGTCGGCGTCGGCGTCGGCGTCGTCGGCGTTGTCGCGGTCGTGGTCGTCGTGGTCGTGGTCGTCGTGGTCCTGGCCGTCGGTGTCGTCGTCGTCGTCGTCGTCGTGGTCGTGGTCGTGGTCGGCGGCGTCGGCGGCGTCGATCTCGGCTTCGCCGTAGTCGTTGCTTTTGTCGTGGTGACGGTCATCGTCGCCGCCGCCGTCGTCGTCGAGGACCGAGTTTGGAGACTCCAGATTTATAATGCTTTGAGTGTCCCCGGGGATATCCAAAGGCCTTTGGAGACCTATGGGGATCTTTGGGGACCCCGGGGAGTGCTGGGGTGCAAGCGGCCGTCGACGTCGTCGCCGACTGTCGAAGGTCAACGGTCGTCGAGGGTGTGAGATCGAGTATTTGTTGCTGGATCTTTTTAGGGGGGTCCTTGGGCGCCTGGTGGCCGCAGGTGCATGCGCCTCGAAAGAGTTGTCGAAACGAAACCTAGGCTAGGTCGGGGGGGCTGACGGAGGGAAGTGGAGGAGGAGGAGGAGGAGGAGGAGGAGGAGAAGAAGGGAGGAGGAGGAGGAGGAGGAGGAGGAGGAGGAGGAGGAGGAAGAAGGAGGTCCTTGAAGGTATCGGAGCGATAAGGATGCTTCCTCAGGAGGCTCTAAAGGGAGTGGGGGGGGAGGTGAGGAGGAGGAAGAGGGAAGAGGAGGAAGAGGAGGAAGAGGAGAAGGAGGAGGAGGAGGAGGACGACGACGACGGGGCGAAATCCGTTCAAACCGCGGTGCCAGGATCCACCCCATCCTGGCAGTTTGTTCGAGGCGCGCTTGGTCGTGACGAGGGGGGGGGGTGCGGCGAAGGGCAGAGGAGGAGGAGGAGGAGGAGGAGGAGGAGGAGGAGGAGGCGCGCCTGCCTAGCCGTGATGACGAGCCCCCCCCCCCCTGGACGGCTCCAGAAAGTTGAAAAAGTTGAAAAAGGAGGAGATGATAAGAGGGGCGAAACCGACGAAGAGGAAAAGCAGGAGAGGGGGGGTGAGGGGGAGGAAGAGGCACATGATGATGAGAAGGAGGAGGAGAAGGAGGAGGATGAGGAGGAGCAGGAGGAGGAGCAGGAAGAGCACAGTAGGAGGGACAGGAGGAAGATCGGCACGCGGCGGAGGCGCCTGGGTTGAGGCCTACAGAGGAGCCCTCACACCCTCCCTGTACACCGCAACCCGCCCGCAGAGGTCCGTGCCCCTCTGTCCGAAGGAGCCCACCGCGGAGAGGAGGCCCGCAAAGGGGGAAAGGGGCACCCGCAGCTCACGGAGCGCACCGTGTGCGGCAGGTGGACCCCCCCACACCCCACCCGACAGGCCCCCCCCCAGCCCGCCGCACCGCGGCCGCCGCCACGACGCGGAGCTCACCCACCTGCTACTCGCGGCTCTGCGCACCGCACCCCGCGCCCACGGTTGCTCTGCCGTCGCCACTTTGGCATCCGTCCGTTGGGTGCAGGCGGCGGCCTCGGAGATGACTATGGGCATGCTCTGCTGCTCTGCAATGCGCCGCATGCCCTGCTGGTCCTCAATCTCGGCCCCCTCCTCGTCGAAGAAGTCGCATTGCTTGATCTTGGGCGCCTCCACATCGAAGGAGCCCCTCTGCTGGACACGTGGCTCAACGATGTCCGTCGGGTCCATGTCGCCCTTCTCATGTGCAACGATGGTGCTATCCACCTCTGCCCGCTCAGCCTTGGCTGTGTTATTGCAGTGTTCCACACGAGTTTGTATTGCAGCTCATCTGTAAAGCCGTCCACTGTATGTGGCTACCTCTGCTCAAGCCTTTTTCGACGCGAGCCCCGGGCGGCCCGCGACGAGCAGGACTGGTGCATGGTCGTCGGCCAGATCGCCCAGGCAGCGATCCTCGGGGCGGCGAACATCGGCGGAGCCTGGCTGGGTCGCTGCCCCCCTTGCCCGCAGGCGCCGGGGTGCCCAGCGCCTGCACTGAGCTGCCCACCGGTCTCGCTCACCTGCCCGGCGCCCCCGGCGCCGCCGGCGCTGACTTGCCCGCAGGTGACCTGCTCGGCTCCCGCGTGCCCGCCGTGTGAGGCGCCGGCACGCGAGGAGGTGGTGCCGTGCCCCTCGCCGGCCCGCGACGACGCGGGCGCCGACGGCCGCCTGGCCGCTTGCCTGCCGCTGTGGGCCGTGGTGCTGATCGGCGCGGTGGCCTGGGCCTGCGGGGCTGGCTCGGTCGCCTGCCTCGTTCAAGGGTGCGCTCGTCGAGGACAGCATGTTGGCCGTGGTGTCATCGTCCGACCTAGTGCCGGGGGACGTGATTCTAGTCCGCTACGCCGCGGACGATCTCTGGCATGAACGAGTGTTGAGCTGGGCGCTGCCCGTCGACAAGAATGGGGCTGTGCATTGGGTGGTGGCAACACCCGACGGAGACATGTATGTGGAGACGATCGAGGGGGGAAGCGCCGAGGACAGCCCGGTGGAGTGGATCCGCCCGGCGGCTGACGGACGCCTCCCTGTTGGCTTCCAGGACGCCGTGTACTCCTTCCAGCGAGGCGAGATCGACGGGGCCCTCCTAGAGAAGTGCGTGAAGAAGGGTGCCACCATGGCGTTGAGGGACGCTCGGGAGCATGGCATGACCCCTGTCACCATGACCGTGGCCCGGGCCCCGGGCGGCCGCAGGGTGCCGATCGAGGAGGTCGTAGGCGCGGGGTTCGTGCAGCCGGCGCTCCGAGACGCTGCGCCTGAGGGCGCGGACACGGGAGGAGCCATCGTGGCAGGGACTGCTACGCCGAGGACCGGCGTGTGGCGCGTGGTGGAGGAAGGCAACTCGTTGGGCTACGACGTGGGCCGTGAGGTGAAGCCCGTGACGGTGTACATCGGATGCAAGGGCGTCTACTCGCCCGACGGCAAGGACCCAGTGTTCGTGGAGTTCAGTGACGAGGACGAGGGCGATTTCGTCAAGAGGGTGGCCCCGCGACCCCCGCCCAAGGAGACCGCGGCGCAGGATGCACGCACGCTGGCCATCAAGTTCAACCCACAGGGCCGCATGCGAGACTGGCGTGATGTGGTGGACAGCTGTCAACAGGAGGAGTTCGAGGACTTCCCTGTGAGCGGGCCCCGCAGCATGAGCTGGTGCCTACACTTCTTACGTCGTCGGCACACCCCCTTGGACCATCATCTGATGTTCCGCAGCACGTGCTCGCTGAAGCCCGAGCAGTGGGGGGTGGCCGAGCACGAGACTTTGCTTCGCATCATCGAGCTTGCGGGGCAGTATGACCAGTTGGATGTGACGAACCTGGCGTGCATGGAGGCGGCGGCGCGCAGGGTGCAGACCATCGAGTGGGCCTACCATGATAAGATCAGGGAGACGGATGCAGGGTCCACCTCGCGGCATCCATCGAGGAGGCCACGGCTTTCTCAGGCCTCAGCCGCGCGGGGGACTTGATGATGGTGGCGCCCGCTCTCCTAGAGCACGTGAAGTTGCAAGTGGAGAAAGACGCAGCCATCATGAAGAACATCAGGAAGGCCAAGGAGGAGAGGGAGCTGAGGAGGAAGGACAACAACAAGGGCAACAACAAGGAGAAGGGGTGAAAGCCCCCGGGGAGGAGGGGTGCCAGCATTGCCCTCCTGCCCCGACACTACCTCCTGGCCTACAGTGCATCGTACCTGAAGAAGGCGTAATTCATAGTCACCCTCCTGGGCTTGGGCCTCCCGGCTCGGATAAGCCAGCTCGGCCGCTGCGCTCGGACGGCCCACGCCACCGTGACATTTTTCCTCTTCCTTATCTTGCTTGGAGTACTGCTGACATCGACGCTTCCGTCTACTCAGCGGCTAGAGGCGACGACCGACCTCGGGCTCCATGTCGGCGCGCGAGGCGTCGCATCCTGAGGCGCCAGGCCGTCGCCAGCCTGGCCAACCAAGCGATCTACACTCTCAACGACTTGGCGGGCAGCGAGCGGGGGTCTTCCGTCTCGCAGCCTGGCGAGGGGCGGGCCCCGCACGGGGCTGTGCAGCGGCGTGTATATGCGGCCGCCGCGGCGACGGGCCCGCCGCCAGCTCTCTCGCCCTCGGGAGCCCTGCAGGAGCTCCGGGGGTGCACGGTGTATGAGGACGTGCAGTCCACCGTGGTGCCCTACGACGATATGAAGGCCTCCCTGCCGATGAGCGGTAATCGCCCCGTTCCCCTGGCAGAACTTTTTGGGGCCGGTGGTCAAGCTGAAGTCGACGGGTTTCTTGACTCTCATCTTCTCGAATCAGAAGCAGCCTCCCACAACCTCAAGGCGGCCCCTCGGGAGACGCACATGGACGAGGTGCTTCGGAACTCTCCGCACGCGTACCAGCGGCTGGTCAAGAGGCTCGAGAGGGCCGGGATGATTGACTACACCGTCCAGCCGCAGGAGTTTTGTTCGCTCTTTTTCGTGAGAAAGAAAAATGGTAGCCAGCGGTTGGTCGTCGACTGCCGTCGTTCCAATTGTTGGTTCTCGGCCGCGGACCCCGTCCAGCTCAGCACGGGCGCCGGCCTCGGGAACCTAGAGGTGCCGGACGGGGCGCGGCTGTACGTGGGCCACGTGGATATCAAGGATGCCTTCTACCACTTCGAGCTGCCGGAGCGCGTGCGCAACTTGTTCGCGCTGCCGGCGGTGCCGGCCTGGGTGGCTGGCCTTGCTGAGGTGGGCGGCGTGAGAGTGAGCCCGGGTACTTCGGTGTTCCCGCGGCTTCGAGTGCTTCCCATGGGATGGTCGCACGCGCTGTGGGTTTGCCAGACTCTGCACCGCCGTATCATCCAGGATATCCCAGGCCTCGAGCCAACCTCGTTTCTGCACGACCGAGGGCCAGCGCCTGCGACCACCCCTGCGTGCCACACTGTCTACGCTGATAATTTTTTGGCGCTGGGTACCTGCCGATCGACGGTCGAGCGGCTGGTGCGCCAGGTCGATGAAGCTCTGCAGTCCCGGGGCCTTCCAACACACGAGGTAGCCACGAGCTCACTGGAGGAGGAGGTTCTTGGGTGGGAGATCAACGGAAGACTGGGCTTCATTCGACCTCGACCAGAACGTGCATGGCGCATACGTTTAGCGCTGGACGGCTTGCTAGAAACGCAGAAGGTGTCCGCCCGCGACATCGAGAAAGTGGTGGGACACTGCACCTTCTTAGCCCTCCTCTCTCGGACCTCGCTCTCCATCTTCCGGTCCGTCTACACCTTCATCGCTCGTCATCGTGATCACGGTACCGTACCGCTCTGGGAGTCTGTTCGCTGGGAACTCGAGGCCTTCAGGAACGTCATTCCTCTGATTCGTCGTGATTTTGGGGCTCCGTGGAGTTCAAAGGTTATGGCATCAGACGCTTCCTTCTGGGGCTACGGCGTCGTCTCACGGGACCTCCCTCCGGATATTGTTCAACAACTAGGGCGTGTCAGTGAGCGATGGCGGTTCTCGGGCAAGGCTCAGGTCAGGTCTCGTGAAGGGGTTCTGGGGCCCGACGGGGAGCTCGACACCGGCGACTGGGTGAAGAAGGTGGAGGAGGACAGTCAGGAGAGAGAGGACGCCTTTTCGGATCTGCCGGAGATCTTGAAGGAGAGGGGGTGGGCGGTGCTGATGGGCAAGAAATGGGAGGCCCCCATCTCCAACATCGTTCAGGGAGAGGCTCGGGGCCTCACTGCTGCTGTAAAACATGTGTGCCGATCTATGAAGAATTTTGGACGTCGACACCTTCTCATGTTGGATTCCCTTACGTGCGTACTGGCTCTATGCAAGGGACGCTCATCCGCCGTCGGCGTCTGCGCCGCTCTTCGATCCGTGGCCGCCCATGGCCTTGCCACGGGCGCGGTCTTCTCGGGTCGCTGGTTCCCCAGCGAGTGGAACCATGCCGACGGGCCGTCGCGGGGGCTCGGCCACGCTGGATACGGAGGCGCCTCGGCTAGCAAGGTCGACGGCCAGGGGGACCACCGCGTCGCCGGGGACAGCTGTGGCGCCGCAGGTGGCCCCCAGGCCGCCCGCGCTGACCTACCCAGTGCAGAGTTCCCCAGTGCTGGTCCGGCGACGGCCGAGGGCGTCCTCGCCGCCGAGTGTGGAAACGATAGGCTTGTCGCCGAACGTGCTGCCATGGCGCCCGTTGGGCCGCGTGATCGGCCGCCTGGGTGCTGGGGCCGCGGGCCAGTTCCCGCGCGACCTGAGCGACTGGATGAACGAGCAATACATGGAGGGCTACGACCACTGGCGCGGGTCGAACATGATGGCGGCAGTCGCCTGCGCAGACCCTCGCCCAAGCCGCGGGGGAGGACACGGGCCTCCCCTCTCGCGGCAGGCGCTGAAGGGCTGGCGACTCCTGGCGCCCGCCTCCAGCCGCCTGCCGCTGCCGGTCCAAGTAATGTTTGCCATCCTGATGCAGCTGCTAGTGATGGACGACTGGGGCATGGCCGTGTACACCAGCATGACGGGGGAGATCGACAAGTCGCTGCTGCTAAACCTAGAGGAGGACCAGTGGTCGGTGCCGCTCTGCCAGCGTCTCGTGCTGGGCCGCGACCCGCAGGAGCTCCTGTTCGCCTTCAGTCAGGCCGAGTTCACGCGGAGCTTCGAGACGGCCGGCGCAAAGCGGCTGCTGCAGCGCCCTCTGCCGCCCTACATCCCGCGGCACGTGGGCGCCGGCCGCGACTTCGCCGAGCAGCGCAAGACGCTGGTCGGGGCGAAGCGCCAGGGGCGGTGGCACACAGTCGCCGGCGTCGGGCACTACGAGTTGAAGGGCAGAGTGGGCAACGAGTCCGCCAAACTGCCGCTCCGCATCCAGTACCAGGTACGCTGGTGCCACAAGTACCTCCCCGCGGCGCTCTCCGGATCGCTGCAGCCACGCGGGTGCCGCGCCCTCTGAGGATGCGAGTCTTCTTGGAGGTATTCGCTGGAACTGCTCGGCTTGGCCGAGCGATGGCGGCGCAAGGTTTTCACGTGCTGGCTTGGGACGTGAAGTATGACGATCAGTTCGATCTCACCTCGCCCCCGAAGCGCTCACTGATTCGTGGCTGGATTCTTGGTCGTGCTATACTGTCTGTGCATTTTGGCGCCCCTTGCTCGTCGTGGTCCCGAGCGCGAGATGTCGTGTTTACACGTTTGTCGAAGGATGAGAATTTCGGGCACAATGGAGAACCCTGCCACCAGTAGGATTTGGCTTGCGCCTGCCGTCGTCTCCCTCGCTCGTAATTCCTCCTCTCAGGTTGTTCCAACCGACTTTTGCCAATTCGGGACGCCCTGGCGTAAAAGAACAAAGTTTTTGGGCGTCCTGATTGATTTAACCTCTATAGAAAGACTGTGTAAAAGAAAGAATAACCTGTGCTCGGCCTCTCATAGGCCTCACCAGAACCTCCAGGGTAAAAACTCGGAGGGTCGGTTTTGGACAGAAGTGGCTGAACCATACCCTCCTCGGCTCTGTCGGGCGTTAGCGCTGGCCTTCTCTGATGCTCTCGTCGCGCTCAAGGCGCAAGGTATGGCCAGTCACCTCTGGTAGGTTAGTAGGTTTGAAGTTTTTGTTTTTCGTGCGGCCCTCCTGGCCAGTGGACAAGTAAAGTTGGCTCTTTTTCTGTCAGTGCGGATCTGGTGGCCAGCGCCCACTCCCTTTACGTTTGTCGGCGCTGGCTGTTTCTCAGGTCCTGGCGGAAGTTGAGCCTCTCAGTTAAAAAATTGTCCCTGGTCTCGGGGGGGTGGAATACATTGCAGTGTTCCACACGAGTTTGTATTGCAGCTCATCTGTAAAGCCGTCCACCGCATGTGGCTACCTCTGCTCAAGCCTCCCACCCGCGTACCACCCTGCTCTCACAGTGCTGCTCCCTAATGATCTGGTGGCCAGCGCCCACTCCCTTTACGTTTGTCGGCGCTGGCTGTTTCTCAGGTCCTGGCGGAAGTTGAGCCTCTCAGTTAAAAAATTGTCCCTGGTCTCGGGGGGGTGGAATACATTATTGTCCTTGGTCTTGCCATTTTCGCGCTTCTGCTTAGGGGCATCGGGGAACTCTGGGGTTGTTGGGAGCTTCACTGGCATAGCCAAATCGCCTATTTCATGAGCATCATTATGGCCGCTCGTCCCGTCCGTCTGCTTGTCCTTCTGCTCCGTCTCGTCCCGCTGTGCACCTATCTGCATGTCATACTGAGCGCATTTCCTGAGGAAGTGCCTTCCGAGCTGCCGGAACTTCACGCCCAGGTCGTGGATCGCCACCACAGCCTCGGAGCTCGTGTCCAGGCACGTGGTGTTCTTACAGCTAGACCTTTGCGGCCGAGTCTTCGCCCTGCTTGGCCAGGGGATCCAGCCCCTCAGTGTCCAGTGGCTGCTCCTCCTCCTCCTGCGCCGGCTGCGCGTTCAGCTCCGGACCGGAGCCGTCTTCTGCTCCGGAGCTTTTCGGTTAAAGTGGAATTCGGGTGCAGGGCGGACCTGGTTGGTCGACTGGGTCAGAACGGACAAAGTGACAACGTTTCGTCGGCGTTCTTCTCTCTAAAGGCTTGAGAGACATTTGACGATTTATTTTGGGAATCCCGATCTTTCTTCGAAGCAATGGACTGCTTCGAGTTGTCCGCCCCGAGTGTGCCAAAGCCTCGCCCGCCGAGCCGAGGGCCTGAGCCGCTGGGGCCCCGGGCAGAGCGCGGAGCCCCAGGTCGGGGAGTTCTCCCGCGGCGGCCGGCCCCTGCGCGCGAAGCCGGCCACCCCGGGGACCCTGCGGAGGAGCGACCCTGCCAAGCGGCCTGGGAGATTCCGCAGCGCCTCGCGGCCGCGCGGTAACATTTTCCCTTCCGCCCCGCCTGGGCGCCGGAGCGCCCCTCTCCGCTTCGCGCCCGCCTCGCCGCGCCTCCCGCGGCGCCCCTCCCCGAAGCGTTCGCCGATGTGCGGCGCCGGCGCTGGGAACTTGATCTCGATTCGGGAGCCTTGAGACGGGGGTCGCTGCAAATGGGGTTCAGCCAGAACGCCCGATCTTGCAGGACGCGGCAGGGCCAGGGTCGCACTGACCCGGGCTCGGGCGCAGGATCCTGCAGGATCTTGCAGGACCCTTCGCGTTGGCCCGGGCTTGGGCGCAGGGTCTTGCAGGACCTTGCAGGATTCTGGAAGGCCTGACTGATCCCAGAGCGGACTGACCCAGGCCAGCAGATCCCCGACCCATGAGCTCGACGCACACCGTCGCTACCTTGCAACGGTGACCCCGTTCTCGGCGGCTAGCGAAGGGGGGGAGTGAGGAGGAGCAGGCCTTTTTCAGACGGTCCGGAAGTCCCCCGGCCTTCTGAGAAGTGTTCTGGGCCTTCCCCGAAGACAAAGAAAAATGTCTCAGGAAATTCGCGCCGCCTTCTGAGAAGGCCTTCTCCTTCTCATCTTCCCCGCCTCGCTCGCCGCCGACGTT